TTGCCATTCATTCATTCACTCACTCATTCATGCTCTCAATCTCGTACTTATTGTGCATTTGTGAATTTGACCTCTACACCAACTTGTAAACTTGAGGATGTGTTAAATGCATTCTCCTTTAGCAAGTTCTTTATTTGACAGCTAGCCTACGAGACAGGCTTAGCCAAGTATAACAATAACTTGTGTGTGTGCACGCATGCACGTGCGCACACGTTCATGTACTATCTTAACTCATAATTTTTTCTAAAGTTTATATTTGAATTCATAGAATTTAGATAAAAATCTTCATTTGATGTGATGCATTTACAAAAATATCAGTTTCAATTCGGCTAAGAAATGCTCACACATCTCAAAAGTACAACATAGTCTCTATTTTAGGCAAATTAACAAAGCAAAATTTGGCTTTAAATAAATCTCCATGGTTTACAATGCAAATGGCTGTTGCAAGGCGAACAAAGAAAGGTAAATGGGGATTTATTATGTCTCTGTGTCTTTTAAAACTTTGCATTTCTAATTTAATATTTCATTAGTTCAACTTGATTCCTTAATACCACTGGAAAACAGACTTTCCTGTCATATTCAGATAAACATATTCTTGCCAATTTTCTATGCAGCTTACCTTGGCTTCCTATCTGGTATACTCAACAGATGCATTATTAATAATACGTGAATATAAATATTTAAAACTTTGTGTATGTAATGGATACATAAATAGATGCATGTATGTTTTGGGAATAAATGCTAGTTTTGCTTCTGTCATTGCCTAGCGGATGAAATGTAAGTGTTGCCAATGTTTATTGACACATTTAAGTCAGTATCCCTGTGACTAATGGAGTACAGAATATACAAAAGAGAGGTTTCAGAGATGTCCTCGTTAAAGCACCTGGAAACTTCCAATTGAATTGCCAATTTGCTTTTAGAATTACAGGAATGCTACTCTCTGCATAGCTGAAGTACTTGTGATAACTATACACGGTTAACAGCATGGAGACGGAAGCCAACATCCATGCTTTGAGATGTAGTCAGTTCCACTTTCTCAAGTGTGTGCCTTTTTTGTGATTCTCAGAAGAGCATCTAAGTCAGTCTTACAAGTTTGGCTAAAAGAGAAACTAGGCATTACATGAGTATACTACAGTAGAGGTTATTGGAAGAGAAGAGATCTTAGGGAACATCCAATTCAACTCTGACTATTTAGAATCACAAAATGAGGCCAGTATCTTAGAGATTTGCCAGAGAAGAGAAAGTAAAATAAGAGTTGGAGAGAAATGACTTTTTTTTT